TTTGTTTGGTTCTTGCAAAGTAAGGCAATAACACTGTTATGTATGTTGGATAGTTAGTGGGTTGGATTAGAAGCAAAGATTCTAAGTGATTCTTTAAAATAGTGGATGAATTCATTCTATTTCAGTTTTTTTTTTGGTACTAATGTTAAGTATGAGCTGGGGAAAATTGGGATTTGGGAGGGGAGTAATAATAATAAATAACTGAACGACTCAAGATTCGAGCCTGGATCAATTCCGAGGCTCCATCTATTTACGGTTTGGTTATTGCGAGAGTTTGGTTATGGTAGTCATTTTCCTTAACTTTGCTGTGACTTTATTCTGTTCTTTGCTTTCCAGTGATATTGATATACTGTGTACACAGGTACAAATACAGTTGCAGAGCACATTTTTTCAGTGATATGCAATTCTTGGAAAATTTAAATTGAAAATCAAGATGGAAAAGAGGAAATGGCCGTGGAAAAAGAAATTGTCTGAAAGGAGTCCTGGGGAGAGCGAAAGCTCGGGATCATTTTCTTCGCACTCAGAGAGATACTCTGATGAACAGGTTTTATATATGTTGAACCTCACTTGCTTTTAAGTTATCATTTCTCGTTCTAAATTAATTTGGTCGATTTTACGTTTGTTTTCCCTGTTCGTTCGGTTGGTCTACCATGCAAATAATTCGAGTTAGTTATTTTTTACTTGTTAATGTCATCTGGTTTCATTAGGTGAATCGATGAATTTGGCATCCACTAATGCTCGAGTTTGGTCGATTTTAAGCACTAGATGATTTCTTCCTTTTAACACTGGCCTTAAAATTTAACAAAGTATAAATGTTTGAATTATTCGAGATTTTTTTTTTCTTTGTGCTGTGTTTGAGTATCTAACCATTTGTTTCCCACTCTTGAAATTATGAAAAGCTAAATCTTTTTTCCCTTTAAGTTTAAACCTTTAGGGGGGTTCATTATTTCCAGTTTTAGCTCTCAACTTTCGAATTCCATCATATTTTACATTTTCTTCGCCATCTAATTTTGTACATCCGTTGTAGTTAGTAGTCTGGGGGCAATGGCAAAAAGTCCATCTTAGGGATGGTTTTCTATTAATTTTCATTTAATGTCTTGTTTGACTTTTTATTTTCCCTTTTTTTCCCTTTTTGTTCAGGAAGTACTGAGAGAAGAACAGCCTTCGAATGATAATAATCCGCACTCTCCCGAAGTGACCTCAAAAGCTCCATCAATGGACGATGAAGAAGTGAACGAAACTGTCAAGAGCCTAACACAAAAGCTATCAGCAGCTCTCGTTAACATCAGCACAAAAGAAGACTTAGTTAAGCAGCACGCTAAAGTTGCCGAAGAAGCTATAGCCGGTAAATTTCGTTTTCGCAGTTTCTTATCTGAAATCGTCAAACGGTTTTTTTTTTTTCTTTTCTCATTTATATTTCAACAGGTTGGGAAAAGGCGGAAAATGAAGTGACATCACTTAAGCAGCAGCTCGAAACCGCATTGCAGCAAAACACGAACCTCGAGGCACGTGCAAACCATCTAGACGGGGCCCTCAAAGAATGCGTACGCCAATTGAGACAGTCGAAAGACAAGCAAGAAAAAAGAATTTCGAACGCAATTCACGAAAAAAGCACTGAGTGGGAGTCGCAAAAGGCTGAGCTCGAGAGGCAAATTTTCGATCTCCAAAACAAATCGAGCTCCCAAGATCCCGAAACTCTCCTCATTCTCGATTCTCTAGAGAGAGAAAACACATCCCTCAGACAAGAACTCGACTCGTACTTAAAGGAGTTAGAAATCGTTACAATCGAGAGGGATTTGAGCACTCAAGCAGCCGAATCTGCCAGCAAATCACAATTAGAGAGCATTAAAAAGATCGCCAGGCTGGAGGCCGAGTGCCGGAAAATCCAATCCAACATAGCTCGAAAATTGAATCCTCTGAACAATCACAATCACAAGTATTTTTTTTATGCGGAGTCACTAACCGACAGTTGCAAGAGTAGCAGCACTTCCGAACACAACTGCTTGGATTTCGACTTGCTCAAGAACGAAAAACACTCGCCCAAGAATTTAGCTGTCGAAATCGATATCATGGACGATTTTCTTGAAATGGAACGTCTCGCGTCCTTGCCTGGGCCCGAACAAAAAGACGGGCCCTTTTCGAATTCGGATTCTATTTCTTTGAGGGACGAGCTCGAGTCGATGAGTAAACGTGTGGAGGAATTGGAAAATGAGCTGAAGAGGGTAGAAATGGAAAAGTTTGAACTTCAGAATGCTTTGGAGGAGAGTTTGGATTCTTTGAAGGGTGCAGAGAGTAAATTGAAGGAAGTGGAAAAGGAGTTAAAAGCCGTGAATGAGACGAAAGAGTTGCTCGAGTTTCAGCTTGTTGGTATGGAAGTCGAAGCTAGGACACATTCGGAGTCGATAAAAGCCGAGATTGAAAGGGAAAAGAAATTATCGGGTGAACTGAGTGCCAAATGTCAAGAATTGGAGAGCATCAAATCGAATGCTGAACCAAATGCAAAGCAGGTTCGGGTTTAACTCTTTTTTTACCTTGCTTTAACTATTACATTTCCATTTCCAAGGTTTTTGGTGACTCGAAAGAGAATAATTTATAAGGAAAAATTTAATACACCTTTGCAGGAGGAAATAGCTGTAGCTGCTGATAAACTTGCCGAGTGTCAAAAAACGATAGCATCTTTAGGAAGACAGCTCGAGTCTCTTGCAACATTGGAGGATTTCTTGATCGAAACATCAAACATATCCAATGGAGGCAATGCTTAGAGATCAACATTGAACGAAGCTTTTGTCATGATGACATAATGGTGAGATTTGGATTGTTCAAGAATGTCGATGGAGAATCGTACTAGTTTTGAAAATGGCGATGAGGATTTATTGCCAAGAACACAAAATGGCTTTCGCGAAGTTTTTCTCCGGAAGTAAGAATTCGATTGAACATGGAAAGATTAGATTTTTATTTTCTTTTTTGCTACTTTTTTTAGATCTCTTGGTGTATAAAAGGGAAATTGTGTTGGTTTGTGAGGAATTGGGATTGATAGTATTAGATCTCTTTGAATTCCAAATTGCATTTGTGTTTAGGAATCTTAAGCATAAAGAGAATATCAAAACCAGTGTATCCTGCACTTTAGGTTTTGATCAAATTACACTCGTGTTCTAAAATAT